AGACATTTTTAATTGGCCATTTAATAAATAGGTTGTAAAAGTAAATCTGCAGTCAAATGTCACTTGTTTTACGCCGCCACGGCTCCCCGGAGAGCCTGCCCCCGCCGCTGAAAAAATCCTAGAGAAAACACTGCTTTCTCTTCTAATTTTTAACTTTTATTGTTGTTTAGTTGTGAAAACATGAAGTTTTTTTGTATAAGCACAATCTCCACCACACAAGCCATAAGTACTTGCAAACTTACAATACTGTTGAACTGCATCTGCATGAGACTTAAGCAATATCAGATATTTAACTGTTGGATCTGATGCTTTGGTCTGTAGAGAACCAATACTTCACAAGACTGCCATGTGACTGATGAACGACTGGAAAACAGCCACCTAATTTCAAATGAATTTAATAATTAATGCATCATTTTGGGAGAACGAGGCATGTTGTGCAACAATTAATCACGTAAAGAAAAGAGGGCTGGTTAGACGCGATTGACTTATTGATAGATGGCATATATGGTTTTGTTTTTCTTTTTTCTCCTCAGTGGTTTTATTAATGAAGGGGACTGGAGCAAAGCAAATGCGAAGCCAGCAGGAATCAATCACACCCTCCTCGTATAGCCATTAAGCAGCAGTGCAGACGCTTGCCTGAGAGCTGCTATCTTATAGCCCTCTAATAATTGACCTGATCCACAGTGCTACTGTTATGTCCGACCAGCCCCTCGTCTGATTCTGTATGTTGCTGACTACCACACTTCACTTCATTGACTCTTGACTAATAGACCTAAATGTGCTCATCTACATATACCCCCATGCAACAAGATTCTGCACATCTGCTATTCCAGATTTGTTGTTTTTAAATATTAGTGATATTCTAATTCATTATACATGTGAAATAAATGTACTGTAACTGAATACTCTTAGTTTTCAGGCACAGGCTCACTCAGTAAACATAATCTGTCTTCTATTCACAGTTCATCAAATGGGCAGCCAGTTGCAATTGTTTACAGACAGAGTTTTAATCAGGCAGACTAATTACATGCGCCTGTGCCCTCGCTAGGTTTCCATATCTGCAAGGCAGGGTCTGATGTGCTGCTACTGATTATGCTAATGATCTCATGCTAATTTATCAATACATCATCTAACTTACTTAGCTTCAGAGCTGTCCTGCTTTGGTTGGGTAGCAGCTAATGTAAAGGTGAAATATGTGATTCAAATCCAACGCAATTGTTATCAAATTCAGTAAATATCTCCTTTCAATCCGCCAGCTGCCCATTCTGTGTGTGCACTGAAAATAAATCCAGTGTTCATACACAGGCCTGGCTCTCTCAGTGGGAAATAAACAAAATGACTCGGCTTGAACCATACAACTCTATTTCAGCATTTTCTGTTCACGTTCGTTCTCGTGCAGACAAGAGGGAGAAAGGTAAGGGGGGAGGAGGGAATGGCAAATCTGGTACATGCTAACTCTGTAAATATTATATAACTGGCTGAATAACAATCTTTTTCCGTGTCCGACAACATGCAGCCTAAAGCAGTTTCCCAGTGGGAAATCATCTATGTGTCATTATGTCATAATTCTGATATTATCTGACAAAATCAACATAAAACCATGAGCTATATAGGATTTGATTTTTTTTTTCACTGGGCACAAAATTCAATAACCTTTTAGCTTATAGTTATTCAAGTGGTCTGAGAGGAAACAAGACTTCTGCCCCTTTGTGATGCAAGGATTTAGGCCAATCACAGATCCTTTCACCAAGATCAGATGACACAAAATAAATTACATGTCCACTATGATAGTAAGATGTGGCGGTGCAAGGGTTTAATGGAGGACTTTAAATCTCCAGTGACGCCACAACTGACTACTGATTTTCATTTTGACTATTTTTGAGCATTTGTACGGCTACTACACTATCAGGGCAGTACTGTGCAGGCGCGTGATACGCAGATGTTGATCTGCTATGTATGTACAGAACCAACGTCTCCAGGAAGACTAGAACATACAGTGCCTGCCTACATAAAGTATTTCTCTTTCATTGCTTTTCAACATTGAATTATGGTCAGTTTAGTTTGGCTTTTGACAAGAATTTACAAAAAAAAGACTCTTTCATGTCAAAGTGAAAACATTTCCACAAAGTAATGATAATTAACAAAAAATTGAAACTGTAAAATAAGGGATTGCATAAGTATTCACCACTTTTAAGTGACATAATGTGTTAAGTAAAAACAACTATGCATCTGTGGTGTCTGGATCTGTCCTTGTGCATATCTGCAGGGGAGTATAATCAAGGCCTTATACACTCT